GTTCATAGCATACCCAATGAATATACATTCATAGGCTCTACTAGCGAGTTTAAATCTCTTGGGGTCTGGTATCGGACATAAGTCAGACAACCCCAAGTTCTCAAATAAGTCAAGTTTGGTTGTCTATTCTTAAAGATTTCATATGGAGATATTTTTCTTTTAGCCTTTGGGACTCTGTTTAGCACATAGCAAAGAGTCAATAAATTTCCACCCCTTCCCTACAAATACCTCATTCATAGTAAGAGTATACAAGCCTTTTGTTTTCAGTCTGGATAAAACCAGCTTTATGAAAAAGAAAATCAGAAACTAAATTCTTACTCACCTCTGGAGTGTGCATCACATCTTTGACAATCAGAATCTTCCCAGATGTAAACTTCAGCTCCACATCACTAGTTCCAACAACAATAGTGGTGTGAGAATCTCCCAATAACATTTTCTTGTCATCAGCATTCATGTATGTTTTGAATATAGCACAGTCATAACAGACATGACGAGAGACACTAGTATATACCCACCACCCATCAGTTCCTCCAACCATAGTAACCCCAGTTAACACTGCCACAAGTGGCTCCTCAATCATGTTGGCCTGTGGAGTATGATCCACTAGTTGGTTTCTGCACTTGTGTACCATATGACATGGCTTCCCACATTTTAAGTAGATAAATAGGTTTCCAGAGTCATTCTTAGCGGGTGGTTTAGCATTCTTGTTGTGGCCGGTGTTCCTTGTAACACCCTAAATTTGAGTCTTTAAAATTATAGTATCAGTCTTGGGATCCTCGCTTGAGCGAGAGATTCTCGCCTGGGCGAGAGATTCTCGCCTGGGCGAGAAAGCTTCACCTGGGAGGGTGAAATCCTGGACTGTACTGGAGGATTCTCGCCTGAGCGAGAATTGTCTCGCCTAGGCGAGAAATGGCATTTTGGGACTGTTGAGACTGTGAGATTCTCGCTTGAGCGAGAGGATCAGATCTGAATTTTTAAAATATGCGGGATTTTATCGCTTGAGCGAGAAATGGCTCGCTTAAGCGAGAACCCGACGAGTTGTATTAAATGAGAAACCCCCAAACACAACCTAGGGTTTAGAAAAGAAGAAGGGTGATAGAGGAGAGCTTTTTCAAGGACAAGAAGCTTGGATACTCATCTAAGAGCTTGAGAAGAGGTAAAACTCTTGATTCTAACTCTCTTCTTCTCTTTAAAACCTATTTTGGGTATGTTGGATCTCTTCTCAAAATGAAGGAAACCATGGAAACTCATCCTTTTGAGTTATGGTTCGTTTTATGTTGTTTCTCTCTTACAACTCTTGGTTTAGAGTTAGTATTTCAAGATTGGAAAGGGTTGTGGGTTGATTCATGAAAACCCCAAAACCATAAAGAGAAAATGTGGTTAAAATGGAAAATGGGCAAAATGCTAGAGGTAGAAGATGAGTTTACTTTCTAATGATGAAATATGAAATGATTATGTATGTTTTGGATGGTTGTAAACTTATGATGAAAGTAGTTTAGCAACATTGAAAATATGATGAAATATCTTGTATGGTTAAATAATGCAATATAAGTTGTTTATGTGATATTTGGAATAAATGACTAACATTGTGTTATATGGTGGGAATGAGGAAAGATCCTAGAGTTGGCGGCGGTGTCGGTGGAACTTGTGGAGTTGCCAAGAACCAAACCCAAAACTCACCAATGTAAGGATAAGTCATAAATTGTACATTTGGAATGGAAAATGTGTGTATTTTCTGGTTATGCAATGATTGAGTGGTGAATTACGCATTTAGTATAAACATGTATGGGTGTGTTTATACTAAAGTAGGCGTAGATTTACAGGAGATGGAAAATGTGTGTATTTTTTGGTTATGTGATGATTGAGTGGTGAACTACGCGTTTAGTATAAACATGTATGGGTGTGTTTATACTAAAGCGGGTGTAGATTCACGAGAAGCGAGAAATGGTGATATCAAAGAAAGGAAAATGTCTTTTTAGCCGACCATGAATGGTTAGCAACTCTGGCTTGAGTATATAAGCGAAACTCTGGCTTGAGTATATAAACGAAACTCTGGCTTGAGTATATAAGCGAAACTCTAGCTTGAGTATATAAGAGAAACTCTGGCTTGAGTATATAAGCAAAACTCCGACTCGAGTATATGTAGCATGTTTTCTTCTAAAAGAAATGAGAATCTACTTTTAGCTAACCTTGAGGGGTGTAGCGACTTTGACTCAAGTTATGCAGCAAAGCAAAATGAATTTCAAAAATGGTTTACTAACCCTTTTCTAATGTGGATTATCTTATAATGATGTTTATTGAATTAACGACTTACTCCTTTTTGTGTTTGTATACTTGTCATTGATAATCCCATTGCAGATAAACAGGTGACATGAGGGGGACTCATTTTTGGGAGCTTTATATTTTGGAGTTATTTTATTGCACTATTTTGTACATGAGTGCATATTTAATAGTTTAAAACATTTTGTAACTACGGATATATATTAGCTAACATGAGGGTGTAACTCTGGATATGTGTAGCTATGGGTATTTTGGAAACCCATAGCTAGTTGTATACGGTAGTTACTAATCTGCATTAATACGAATTATGTTTTTCTGTCGAATGATTATGTATGTCATTATTTATTCATGGATTGAGTCTGAGGAGGGAAGTAAGATTTTGAAGTAAGGATATTAAATTGGTAATGTGAGTTATGAGTGATTGCATGGAATTGAATTAAAATAAGAAAAAAATTTCAAGGGTATAATTTGGATCCTTACATTCCTAGCCTTATTCTCATTGCGGTTCTGATTCTTAAAGTTATTGCCCGTAGGCTTCAGAACCACACCTGAGAATTTCTTCTTAGTGCTTTTGTTTGAGACAAACAACACCTCATCTTTCTAATCTTGTCTACGAGCCTCTTCTTCAATGCGAAGACGAGTGATCAGAGATTCCAAAGAAAATTCCTTGGTCTTGTGCCTCAGGACATTTTTAAAGTCCTTCTAACTAGGTGGCAGTTTGTCAATAATGACAGCCACTTGAAATTGCTCATCTAGGGGAATACCCTCATAAATGATCTCATGAGAAATTTTCTGTATCTCGTGGAATTAAGACTCTACCGATTTATCATTCATCATCTGATACTTGAGGTAGCGGCTAACATCATATTTCTTAGTCCCAACTTCCTCATTATCATATTTCCTTTTGAGTGCATGCAAAACTAATTTGGCAGACTTATATGGGATGTAGTAATCATATAGATCATCAAACAACCCATTCAGAATGAAATTCTTACATAAGTAGTCATTTTCATTAGAGAGAGTTATATCAATAGCAATTTTATCAATTTCCTCTTTTTCATCTTGTTCAGGGACCACTAGGACATCAGTCTTCCAAACGTGGGCAACCTTTTCACAGTTAGGAAAAATTTCGTCTTAGTTTTCCAGCGTTTGAAATTAGTCCCATCAAATGGAAATGGTTTGTTCAGGTTGAAGCTGTTTGGACCAATAATATTATCTACGAATGTCATTGCAATAGGAAACGTCTTAAAATTGTTGTTACCTTAACTTGCAGCAATTCTAAATGGCACGAAATAATACTTACTCGCTGATTCACGATCAAATCACTCTCTTTAAGACGTTTCGTGTTACTTCCCAAAATGTGCAAGCAAACTATCAACCATGGCGTCCCTAGGATAAAACAACCCAATTCTCTGTTATCGAATTCTTACTGCATTGTAAGAACCGATCTTCAATACACCCACCACAATATGGCTACAGATGCCAATTCTCGAAATTCTCACAGTATGGCTATCAGTGCAAATTCTTTTCCTACAATCTGACTACTAGTGTCAGTTCTCGAAATTCTCATAGTATGGCTACTAGTGCCAATTTTATTCCCACAATCTGATTACCAGTGTCAGTTCTCAAAATTCCTGAAATTTGGCTACCTGTGCCAATTCTTTTTGCACAATCTGACTACCAGTGTCAGTTTCCAAACTTCCCACAATATGGTTGTCTGTGCCAATTCTTAGTGTCACGGAAAGAAATGGGGAGAAGTTTGCCTGAAATGCGTCGACGAAAAATATGAGGAAGAAAGAAAAAGTTATGTAAAAGCGTACTCAACTTTGGTGCAAGAAAATATGAAGGGGGAAGCTTCTATTTATAGCATGAGATTTTGTCAAAACTCTTGCATCCTCCTATGTGGGACTTGTGGTGATTTTTTTCAAAATATTCCTATGTGGGACTTAGTGAGACTTTTCAATTTCACACCCAAAAGTCCTTCAAGTTCCAACAGGAGATATATTGTTGCTTCTGCATTAGAGTAGATTGAAGCAATGCTTACGGAAGCGTTTGAGATGTAGGATTTATATACACGTAACATGTTTTATTATCATTCGTTAAACATTTTTTTCGTCCAACAATTAAGGATGACAACGGGCACGGCCGGCCACGGGTAATGCATACTCGTGCCTATACCTGCACTATTTGGGGTACTTGTGGGGGTAGTAGGTATCAAACGACTTTCCAATTTTAATAATATTTTTATATTGTTTACAATAATTAATCTATAAAAATAATTTACTTAAATAATATGATACGTATAAGATAATTTTATGATTATAGTCTCATTACTAAATTTTATTATGAGGTAATAATAAAATAAAGAAATATAATGTTAAAATAGTAATAACTAATTATAAAATATTTAATTAAAATATATATGCGGATACCCGCGGGGCGGATATCATGATACCCCACTACAACATTTTTGACCTACGGCAACGACTAAAAACCGTTGCCAAATTTAGAAAAACCATTCTCTTTGTCATAGGCAACGATTTTGTAATTGTGGTAGTTTGAGGCGTTGCCTTTTGTTTAGACAACGATTTTTTGACAAAAGGCAACAGTGTACAAAAAGTCGTTGCCTTTATAATTAACATAGGCAACAGTTTTTTACTTTACAAAGATTATAGTTTTTGATCATGGTCATTATAAGAAACTACTAAAATCGTTGCCTTTAATACTTTTTAGAACATTTATAAAACCGTTGCCAATGATAGTTTATACAACAGTTATAAAATCGTTGTCTATGTTTACATTAATAAAAAAATAGTTATCCCAAACCGTGGCCTATGTTTGGCATCCCAAACATAAACTAACCCTGCCTATGTAATATACAAAGGTCCAACCCAATTATATAAAATGGTTCAACATCACTCTCTAAACTAAAATTCATATTTGTTTATAATTTTACAAACCTTAAGGTACTCATCCATCTATATCCTAATCAAGTAACTGAAAAGCAATGAATTAGTGTCTGTTTTGATGGATTTAGATATACTAAAATTCAGTTGAACTATCCCTTTTGGGAGTCATTATTACTGTATCAACTAGCTGCAACAACGTCAACTCTAAGACTTGAATCCAGTAGTTGATTCACCTTTGCATCAGAGTTGTTGGGTTTCTTGTCATGGTAATTGTTTCTTGCTCGGAATGCAATTCAACATTATCTCTTCTGTATATCCAAGTTTAAGATTTTTAAGTTTTTCCTAAGTCAAAAAATAATGAAATATAATGAGTCAATGGCAATGAGAGAATAAATATTTGATAATGTGTTTAGCAAGATACTTGTGAGGGGATCAAAAGGATTTCAACTTTTATTTAGGAAGCAACATGTAAGGATTACAAACAAGACATGTCGAGAAGACTTACACTTATATGTGAACAAACATGCGAAAGAAGCCTTTCTTCTTAACTACTTTTCTTCAAGAGAATTTCTACAACACTTTTTCAGGTATCCCTCCTAACTGCAGTTATAAGCAAAAACACAGTTCCAATCATCACAAAATGAAAGTGCTCAATAAGGAAGAGGTATGATTTGACAGCTTGAGAACAGACAGATCAACATAGAACATGCAAAAAAGCACAACAATTATAGGAATAAAAATATCAAGCACAAACGAACAAATTCCCTCTTCTCATATATCACTATTAACTACTAAACAGAATCTATGCCCCTTTTACTAGTTAAAAATTCAATATGCAAGTAGGCATATTCACCCAAAACAAAATACTTACAGTAGGCTTACATGGCATTCCCCCTAGACTTTACATTTGATAAGACTAGCAAAGCACATAAGGGAAGCTGAAGGCATGGCCTTTGACTCCTGAGTAATTCTTGAAGTCTTTAAAGTGGTGCACTTTGGCTCTCAAATACATGTTTGTGATTCTGAAATAAAACTTGAAATATCATGTCAAAACAAAGAAGAAACAAAATGATATGCGGTTGCCATTTTTTCAATATCAGAATATAGTGCTAACCTTGCAGAATGACCACCTTTTATTTCAACACTGTGAGATAGGTAAAATGGATTTGGAATCTAAACATAAAATTTAAATGACATAGCAGTACTAACATTCTATTCTACTATTGTCATGAATAATTTAGTACATTACAACAAATTTTCATCACTTTATCATGGCAATATACAATTTTTTGGTTCTCTGTATCTTGTGATGAATAATTAGGTGAAGAAATATAGCAAAGCACAGAACCAAGAACCTCATATCCTTTTATTAGCCAAATATCACTTCCATTGACTCTCAAATCCATGCTTAAGAAATAAATAGTAAGGGGAAAATAAACCTGGTTGTTGATGTCGTCTTCTTCTTGTAACCTTAGGGAAAGGGAGCTTTCAAAAGCTCGTTGACGTTGCAAAGAGCTTCTACACAGAGAGATAGCCAAAGTGAGAAAACATGACACATAGATAAATTGAATCAATGATGAAAATCACAAAAAATAGGTTTGAGAAAATACGATTAGTACCCTTAGGGATTCAAATATCTCAGGGATTCTATCGATTGACCTTGAATTCCATTAGAAGAGCTCCTGTACTTTAACATCGACGAAGTTTTCTTAGCATTGAGAAATAAAACCTAAAAAGCTCGAGGGTTGCATTCCATTAGATGAAGGAGGTGATGAGGGAGAGGATAGGGCGAGTTCGGAGAAGGTAGAGAGGGAGACTTGTGACGGCGGAGAGGGTCAGCTGAATCGCCATCGTAAGGACAGCGGTGAAGGTCCATGAAAGAAGTGGAGAATGGTGAGAGGAAATGGGGATAATAGTTTGAAGATGTTATATTTTTTTTGATTGCTCTAGCCAGAGGAACATTGAAGAAGATGAATAGGCAATGGTTTTAATATAGATGTTTTAAACTACATTAAGCAACAGTTTTAGAGCAATTATTTTAACACTATCGTCTAATACAATGAATTGATAACGGTTATAAAATTGTGGGCTATTGTACTTTAAGATCACGGTTTTAAAATCGTTGAGGGTGGAGGCATTGCCATAGGCTAAAAATGTTGTAGTGCCCATTCCCACTCATAAGCTATTTTTTCGGGTACTTAGTGCGGATATTTGGACAGGTACTCACGAGTCAGAGTATCTTTGTCATCCCTACTAATAATAAACCAATTACAACACCTCACTTATAATCACAACACGAACTTTTTGTTTTTTAAGGTTAAAAAATGAACAACTGCAATAAACTCAAGAGTATACACCACGATACTTTTGGTTGTGTAAATGAGCAATATATTAAAAGCTTAGTTATGATACTAACGTTGGAAATTGGATGGTGAAATTATTAATAATCATATTGCTAGGTGGCACTTCCTTCTAAGGGTGTTTAGATCAAGATCGGTCCACAAAAAAACCACAAACCGATCCAAAATAGATCGAAACCGCAAAAATCATATTTATTTTATTGGATTTATTTTTTAAGGATCGATCGGTCCGTTCCAGTTTTCGGTTTCACACATTGAATCCAGACCAGGCCGATATTCTTAAAAGTTAAAACAAAGTATCTTCCAAAATCCAAATAACCCTAAGTCTTAGACTCCCACTCTTATTCCTCATTGTCTCTCTTCTCTACCACTCCCTCCTCCATCCCTTCTTCTCTGCCACTTCCTCCTCCATCCTCTCTTCTCTGCCACACTCTCTTCCATCAGTCGATACTCTCTTCATATTGGGTAATTCTATTTCTCCAGTGTTGGATTTTACTCTCCCCTTTAGTGCCTTCTATTTGTGATGATGAAGATTATATTGACCAATTTTTATTTGGAAATCTTGTACGAAATATGATTGACTCTTTATATGGTATATTAATTAGTGTGTTATTGCAAATTCAAATAATCAACAAAAAAGGAAAAGCAAGATTCTTTGTTGTCAAAGAGAAGGTGGATGATTCATGAAAAAAAGGTGTGATTCAAGACACATCCCTGTTTGCATCTCGCCTGAGCGAGAGGATCGCTAAATCCCAAGTTTGCATCTCACCTGTGCGAGATGATGGCGCTCAAGTGACAATTCCAAGATTTATCTGTCGGTCTCTCGCTTGAGCGAGAAGTTAGCGATCAAGCGATATTTCCTTGGTTGAAGTTTTCTCTGATTAGGTGCATTATTAATAATTTTATTCTTCTGGAAGTTTTATAGTTATTAATCATTGATGAACACTATCTAATAGTTTAAAACTATGTCGCATGTGCTCATATTGATGTTGTTGCATGTTGTTACTGTTTTTGCTGGTGTTACTATTGTTGTTGGTGTTACTGTTGTTGTTGTTGCCATTGTTATTGTTGCAGTTTACTTTAGTGTTGCTATTGTTGCAACTTTAGTGTTGATATTGTTGTTTACTTTCTTGTGTTGTGTTGTTGTTTTTTGATTGATTGGATCATGGAATTATTGCTAGAATTGTTGCTGGAATTATTGCTGGAATTGATCTTTAGTGCTCTATTGTTTATTTTAATTTTTATAAAAAAATCGATCCAAACCGAGCCGAATCCACATATAATATTTGGACCGGATTGGATCGAAAATCTTAATATAAATAGACTAGATCGGACCACATATTAATTACGTGATTGGATTGGATGATTTTTCGATTAAAAATCGATCCAAATGGACCCCTACTTCCTTCTATCTTTTTACTGTCCCAATTACTTTCTTTGCAATTCAACCTTTTCTCAGTGTTTTGTTTCTCTCTATCACTGTTTCATAATTTTAGAATGGCCCCTTTGAATAATCCCTGAATCTCTCTACTTAAAGAATAGTGGGGAAACCACCATTCCTTAATACTAGGGCACCTGCCCTACCACCAAAACTGGTTACAAACCAATTTGGATTCCATATTTCTACTTTTCCATGTTTTTCTTCTTTTGTTTTTTATTTTTATTTTTATTTTTTGAAATAATTTTTAAATATTATATAAATAAATATATCTTCATGGCAAGAAAAAGATTTTGGATCTTTTGTGGCCTAGACAAAAAAAGGCATTCACAACTTCCCCTCTTTACTTGTTGCTTACATGATAGCACACATATCGATGTTTCTATTCTCATGTGAGATGAGTTGTCTTCAAAAATAATTTGAGTTTACTTTCAAAACGTGTGATAGAAATTGGTAGTTAACCAAGAACGCAGGTCGGTGTAGTGCCGAAACTTGGGGTGAAAAAGATAAAACCAATGACACAGGTCGGTGTACTACCGGAATTTGGAGACACTATGATGAATACAAAGAACGCAGGTCAGTATACTCCCAAAACTTGGGGTTGAAAAGGTGAAACCAAAGACACAAGTCGGTGTACTATCGGAATTAGGAGACACTATGATGAATACCAAGAACGAAGGTCAGTGTAGTGCCAAAACTTGGGGTGAAAAGGTGAAACCAAATATGTAGGTCGGTGTAATGCCAAAATTTGGAGACACAAGGATGAATACCAAGAACGCATGTCGATGTATTGCTGGAACCTGAAAACATATTCTATACTAATCATGGAGCCTGGAAAACTCAAATTACACGTCATGGTACATGACCCGGAAAGCTAAAACTGCACATCAAGGTTCATGACCTAGAAAGCTTAAATTTCATGTCGATGTACGGGACTTGGAAAACTTAAATTTCATGTCGAAGTACAAGACTCGGAAAGTTTTAGGTTTCACGTCGAGGTACATGACCCGTAAATTTTAAATTTCACATGACGTAAAGGACCCATGGAGTTTAAATTTCATGTCGAGGTACATGACCTGAGAATTTTTAAAAATCATATCCTAGTACATGACCCATAAGGTTTAAATTTCACATTGAGGAACAGGACCCGAAAAATTTAAATATCACATCGAGGTACATGACCCAAAAAGTTTAAATATCACGTCGAGGTACTGGAACCGAAAAGTTTAAATTTTACCTAGTGGTACATGACCCGAAAAGTTTAAATATCACATTGAGGTACATGACCCGAAAAGTTTAAATATCACATCGAGGTACAGAACCCGAAAAGTTAAAATATCACATCGAGGTATAGAAGTGGAAAAGATTAATTTTCACGTCGAGATACAGGACCCGAAATATTTAAATATCAAATCGAGATACATGACCCATAAAGATTAAATTTTACGTTAAGGTAAAGGACCCATAAAGTTTAGATCTCACATCAAGATACATGACCCATAAAGCTTAGATCTCATATCGAGGTATAAGACCTAGAAAGATTAGATCTCACGTCGACGTACAAGACCCAAAAAGTATAAATTTCACTTTGAGGTACATGACCCGAAAAGTTTAAATTTCACGTTCAGATAAAGGACCCTAAGTTTAAATATCACATTGAGAAACAAAATTCGAAAAGATTAAATTTCACGTCGAGGTACAGGATTCAAAGAGTTTAAATATCACCTCGAGGTAAAGGACATAGAAATTTTAAATCTCACATCGAGGTATAGGACCCAAAAATATTAGATCTAACGTCAGGGTACAGGACCCGGAAAGTTTAGATCTCATGTCGAGGTACATGATCCAGAAAGTTTAAATTTCATGTCGAGGTCCAAGACCCGTAAAGTTTAAATATCACATCGATGTATGGGACCCAAAAAGTTTAGATCTCACGTCGAGGTTCATGACCCGAGAAGTTTTGATTTCACATCGAGGTGCAAGACCTGGAAAGTTTAAATTCACGTTGAGGTGTAGGACCCGGAAAGTTTTGATTTTGATGAATGTAAAGTAATAAGTGAGTGTTGGAGAGTATGTTATGTGTTGATGCTTGTCATGATGTCATGCATGAGTTGTCTCCTTTTATTGAGCTTGACTGAAATGTGAACCCATTTTTTTTAACCTAGTGCTGATCGGGATGATCTTCAAATGGCTTGATGTCGCAATGTTATATTGAGAATAAAAATTAATCCCAACAATGTTGCCCCGATACAGGTTGTTTGGAACTTCGCCCTTAGGAGACGGAAGTGTGATTGCTCGTTTTCCTTCGGATGAAATAATTTGATTTCCCCAATTTGCTTAAACTATAAAGGACATTTGCATAAGGGTATTCATTTAACTTTCCCTGATTTTTTCCCATAGTACTTGATGTAGGTATTTGTGGGGAATTCTCTCTTTCTGTAATGATACTAAATCACTTTTTCACGTTTTCAACTTAGTACCACTCTCCTTTTCTTAGGTCTCCCTTATCAGTTTTCAACCTAGCAATTTCTTTCATTTTTTTTTTGTATTTCTTGTTTTTTTCTTGAACACCCTTATGTAAGTTTGTGCCAGTTTTGGGCTTCATGAGACTTTTCAATCCGAGAAAATTGGGACTCATCCAAAAACTACCCCAGTGTGAGATAATTAATGGCTTCTATTGGTCTCCTCCACACATGTCCATACAACCTAAGGCGCAATTTCACCATATTTTCTACAATAGAAGTTACTCTAACATTCTCCTTAATACATTCATTCCTAATTCTATATTGTCTAGTGTGTCTACTTATAAAAATAACATTCTTTACATGAATCTATTCTCTTGTTGACATTTTATTGTTCAACATTCAGTTCCATATAATATTGTGCGTCTAATAGTTTTGTGTAAAACGTCTCCTTATGCTTGAGTTACAACTTTTTTTTATCATATATGAAACCTAAAGCACTCTATCATTTCATCTAAACTACTTGAATCATATGGTTCATATCTCTGTTATTTTCTCATAATCTTGTATGATTGACATAAAATACCTAAATCTAGTAACTTGTGGTATAATATGATGATTCCGAGTCATTACCTCTATAGTAGGTTTTGTTTGTCACATGCTAAACTCACACTTCATATATTTTGTCTTATTTCGACTTTTATATAAAATTCATGTCCTTCTAA